ACTTTTTAACAAATATCTATCTACATCTACTGTTATGTGATTATCATGCCGATCAGAGGTAAGTACATTGATGGGGGCTCATGGGCAACAGTGTTAGAAAGACCAGCCCCTCAGAGTTATCCTAAGAACCCTGAGGTAGAGTCCTCAGCTGCCCTTTACCAACCAGGACCCAGGCATTATAAGAGAGAATTAGGAACTATCCCTGGTACTTCTATTATCTGCTTACAGATAGATAGATAGATAGATAGATAGATAGATAGATAGATAGACAGATAGATAGATAGATAGATAGATAGATAGATGTGGATGTAGATATAGAAATAAAAAGATAAGTAAATAGGTATCTATCCAAATAAACACATATACATGCATGTATATGTGTACATGTGAACACGTATATACATATGGATATGTGTGTATATATTGTATATGTGTGTGTATTTATATATCTATCTTGTGTATGTGTTCATATATACATATTTGTATAAATAGGTTTATGTGTATATATATATGCTTATAGGCATATATGTATGCCTACATATACATGTATATATACATACGTGTGTATATATATATGTGTGTGTATACAAATACTATTCAGGGTAACTCTGAAGTCCTGTGCTTTCCAGTACATTTACCCTTTAGCCTTCACTAATACACTTTTCTCTAACTATCAGATAGGAGTATAAATGAGCTTTTAGAAAAGGATATTTACTAGTATGTAGTACGCAGTATTTCCTAGTAAGGTAGTATGTAGTGAGCACGGATGGTACAAAACATTTCTTTCATACTGAGGGTATATTTTCCCTAAACATATAAGGTCACTGGGGAAAATGGACTCAAACTTGAAGTACAAGACATAGGGAAGCACACATGTAGGGAACAAATGTGGCAAAGGTTTACCTTGAAAAATCTGTTGCTGAGAGCCCTTGGTACCCTGAGATTTAGCTGTCCACTGGGCTCTGAGGATTCCAGCCTTTCTAAAGTCCATAACTGACATTTTCTCTGCCACAGGGAGTCACACTCTCTGGAGCCACTTTTTCCTTCAGGTGGAAATCATATCTGTCTGTGTCTTTGTTTTCTATGTTTGTCCTTGAAGCGCTCTCTGGCTTCTAATGGTCTCATTCCTTTGATGACATTTTCAATGGAAGATAAAGGGGAGGAGAGAGAGGAAGAAACTCTCTTCTCTTCCCAAGAATATAACACACCTGGTACAGACTCCTGTGGAAGGGAAACCTGATTAAATTCCTCTATTTAAAGCTCCAGGAGGTGTGTCTAACCTGTTTAGTTAGCCAATCCTTTTTTCCCCTTCTTGACCAATCAATAAGAGATTGGTATAGGCAATTTGTTTACCTACTATATGAGTTTATTAATTAATTCTGTAACTCAAGAAGGCATTCTCACCTCATAAAAAGTGTCAGGGAAAAGAACATCTTGTTAATTGAAGTATAGGCAGTAGATATCCACCTCTTAAAAGAAGCAAAAGCAGATGACCAAGGATGACTATAGAAGAATGGCACAGTACTGTAAGAAGAGTATCTAGGGTGTCAAAGGGCAGAATAGATTGATTTGGAAATGAAGGTTAAAGGTCATCACCATTACCACCACCACCACCACTACCACAACAACAACATCAAAATGACATTTATAGTAATGAATGGGAAAAAGAGAAAGATCAAAGAAGGGCTAAATCTGCTCCTTGTCATGGATGGGTAGATAACAGTGAATAACAGAGAGAAGACAGCATTACTTAATTATTTTATTTCTGTTTTCTCTACCAATCTTCAGACTGATAAAGGCAACAAAAATGAATAGAAGTTAAAACCCAATACAAGTGAAAAGGCAATAAGAAAGTACAGTACTCCGATGCTTTCCAAGAATTCAAGTTGTCTGCCTTGGACAAAAAATAATCAACAATTTGACAATATGGTAAGATCTGCAGTGCTTTCCTCATAACAGCCCCACAAAGGAGGTAGCACAAGTATTACTAATTCTGTTTTTTTTAAACAAATGAGGAATTGAGGCCCTGAAAAGTTAAGAGAATTACTTATGATTACATAGAGCTGAGAAGTACCTGACATAGGATTTGAATCAGCTCTCCAAACTCCAAGTTTACTACTCCAGGACAGCACTATGCCATCCTTTTTGACAAGATAGAGATATAAAGCTGAGATAATAAAGTAAGTAGGTTGAAAACTAGTTCACTCACCAGACCAAAAAGTAATAATGAATAGATAAACGTGCAAATATATTGGAGATATGGTTAGGCAAACGTTTGTGTGAAAAATGTCTGAAAATTTTAGTGGCCTGAAAGCTCAATAATCAGTAAACAAGTGTAACATGGAAGCAAAATAAATCTAAGATGATCCTAGGCTACATAAATGATATCCAGAATCTGTCAATCAATAAGCACTTAAGTAACTGTTACGTCTTAGTCTCTGTACTGGCTATCAGGGATACAAAGACAAAAATGAAATTGTGTCTTTCCTCAAGGAACTTACCTTTTATTGAGATATAAAAGAGGTGTAGATATAAGTACATACCAAATACAGCAACCAGACCTGTGATTTTATCAGCATAGGGGCTCCCAGATAAGGAAACTCCCTCTACCAGTGCAGGTTAGCCTCATTTCTATTATTTAGATTCTTAAAGAATTGCCTAGAACAGTGAGAGGTTAAGGGATTTGCAGAGGGTCACACAGACAAAAGTGAGATTTGAACCAAGGTCTTCCTGGTTCCAAGACTGGAACCTTCCAGCTCATACAAAAAAAAAAAAATATATATATATATATATATATATATATATATATATTATATATATATATATATATATATATATATATATAATATAAGATAATGGGTGAGGGGCAAAAGACTCTAGAAGCTGGGAGAATTAGGAGAGGCTATCTAGTTCAAGGAGGGTTTTAAGGGATTCTGGGAGCCAAAAGAGAAAAGGCAATGCATTCTAAACATAGGGGATGGCCAGAAAAAAGGCACAAAGATTGGAGATGGAATATCATATGTAAGGAACAGTAAAAAGGCCAATTGAGCTGTACCTTAGAATGTATGGAGGAAAGTAATACATAATGAAGCTAGAAAAGTAAGTTGGCACCAGATTGAGAGAAACTGACAAAGAATAAAATGAGCAGAACCAGAAGAACACTTTATGCAATACCAGCAACCCTATAAAAACAACTTTGAAAGTTAAGAACTATGATCCATACAATGACCATGATGCTAGAGAACGGACAATGAAGCATGTTATCCACCTCCTTGACAGAGAAGTGAATTCAGGCAGAATGAGACTTTTTTTTTAAACATGACAACTGAGAAAATTTGTTTTGCTTGATTATGCATACATGTTACCAAAAAAGTGTCTTTTTCTTTTTTTTTTTTAATGGATCAGTGTGGGAGGGAGAGAACAGAGATTTCTGTTAATTAAAAAAAATAAAACTTTAATTTAAACTATGCCAGAGGAGTTAATAATTGATTGTAATAGGGAGCCACTAGAATTTATTGGATAGGGGAGTGACATGCTCAGACCTGTCTTTTAGGAAAATTAATTGGCACCTGTGTGGAGAATGCAGCAGAGAATGGAGACTCCTGAGTCAATGAGACCAATTAGGAGACTGCTTAAATAGGCATGAGGTAATCAGGGCCTAAATTAGATTAGTGGCCATGTGAGAAAAGAGAAGACAAATACAAGAGAGGATATGGAGATAGAACTGGCAACTGATTGTGTGCTGGTAAGAGTATAAGGAGTTAAAGATGACGCCAAGAAAGAAAACTTGATTCACATGAATGATGGTGGTGCCTTTGGCAGAAATATAGATTTTTAGAAGAAGATGTGTTTTTCTTTGGACATGTAGAATTTGAGATACCCATGACCATCCTGTTAGAAATGTTCAATAGGCAGTTGTTAAATGCAGGACTGGAGTTCAGGAGAGACTATGGCAGAATTGAATACAATACTCCAAACATGGTCTGATGAGGGTATATTACAATGGACCTTTCAAATCACTAGTATAGATAAAAACTAAATTTCTTTAAATGCATCCTGATTACATTAATCTTCCTTTTCAACTGCTATATCATACTGGTGACTCCCATTGACCTAGTAGTCTACTAAAGCCTTAGGCATTTTTCTAATGGACTGTTAGCTATCCATTACTCCACCATATTATCCTTGTGAAGCTGATTTCTTAGATTCAAGAGTACACTTCAGACCTCCATCCAAAATGGCATAGAACCAACCATTAATGTCTATTCTTTGGGTTTGGCCATTCAACCAGATCCAAATTCACCCAACTATGCTATCACCTAGCCATCTTAGCCACAAGGATCTCATGAGAGACTTTGATAAATCCTTTTTTAGAGACTATGTTGTACGTACAACATTATCTTTATCAGTCTATTAACTGTCAAAAAAGAAAATGAGATTAGTCTGGCATCGCTAGTTATTGTCAACTAAAATATATTAATAATAGCAACTTGATTTAATGATTGCTATTGATGGGGGCAGCTAGGTGGCACAGTGGATAGAGAGCTGGCCCTGAAGTTAGGAGGACCTGAGTTCAAATCTGGCCTCAGACCAAACACTTGACACTTACTAGCTGTGTGACTGTGGGCAAGTCACTTAACCCCAATTGCCTAAAAAAAAACAACTAAAAAAAAAAGATTGCTATTGATGAAGCTATGGAAATCACTTCTGCTTTTTCTAGATGTACACTAGCCATCCCTAACAAAATGCATTCTTGAATCTTGGTCACCAATCTACAATGCACAACTCTACTCTCATTCCTTTCTTTCAAAATCAGAACACTTAACCTTCTCCAGTCCTGAAGCACCACTCCCATTCTCTGCCATCTCAAAGTTCATTAAAAATAACTCAGAAATCACATTCAGCCATTGTTGTTGTTATTTAGTACCCTGGAATATAATTCATCTAAACCTGGTAACTTTAACTCACAAAGTGCTGCTAAACATACTCTCTCTACTTACCTTGGTCTCAGCTCCTTTTTAGCTATTTCATTTCTGCCAGGGAGCATTCTCCTTGGAAGGAAAAAAAAGAGAAGCAAAATAAGGGCCAAGTAGTTCTCCCTTCTCTCTTACTTCTTAACATCAGTATATTAGCACTGAATAGTGGTCTTCTCCCTTTTTTCATTAATTAATCAACAGATGTTTATTTAAGTGCCTACTATGTGTCAGTAGGTCTTGCTCTTTCCCTCAGTATAGTCTTTGGAAACCTCTTTTTTATTTTTTTGTCCTAAGTATTCCTATCCTCAGTTCATTCTCAGCCTTAGGATTCCCATATCTTACCAGTAATGTTCCAGACTTTCATTTTCAGCTTTGGTTACCTCTTCTCATATCTTAGCTTTAAAAAATATAAGTCTTAAAAAAATCTATACTGGTTGGTAAGTCCCCTGTTTACTTATGCCAGATTCAGCTGATCATCTTAAATAAAGTCTCTGATTCTTTAATTTAATTTATTAATTTAAATGTCTTATTGATGCATTTTGTTTTTATACAATTTATTTCTGGATGTGCCACTACCACCCTCAACCAACAAATCCTTGTGATCATATCTGTCAATCACAGTATGTAAAATGCTGAACTCATAGCTCCCCCATGTCTCTCCTGACATAACATATAGCACTTTAGGGCTTATAAAGTACTTTATAAATACTACCATATTTGATTCTCAAAACAACCCTCATTTTACAGAGGAGGAAACTGAGGTGGGGTTTTTTTTAAGTGATTTGCCCAGAGTCACACAGCTAGCAAACAATCCAGGTTTGAACTCAGGTATTTTTGACTCCAGGTCCAGCACTCAATCATTCACTGTACCAACCTTGCTGCCTCATATAAATTCATAAAAGTCTTCTCATGTATCTCTGATGTATCCCTTAGTCTAATCTGTTTATTGTCTTCCTTATGCCTCGGAAGCATTCCTATTTGTTAATATTCTTCCAAAAATGTGGTACTTTGATTTGGCGAGTCCCTAACCCTATGCTTTCATTTTTTAAGCTATCCAAAAGGAAATAGCAACCTATCCAGCTTATTTCTATCCTAGAGAAGCTGTGCAGATTAATAGCAGAATTTTTTGGAGGATTTTGAAGGCATTTAAGAAATGCTTTGTGCACTAGTGCCATAGTATCAAACTCAAGTAGAAACAGAGGCCACTAAACTATACATAAGGATCCCTGTGAGTCATATATTGACTTATTTTAAAATGTAACTAATATAAGTTTTATTTTATTTTTATTCATTTTGTTAAATAATTCCCAATTACATTTTAATCTGGTTGGGCCACACTCCAGAATGTTGTGGACTGTGTGTGTATTTGAAATTTCTGTAGTTGAGTACTAGGGTCACTAGGAATGATCAGTGCATTTTTGTTTATTTAATCATACAAAGGCAAAAGGGCTCAGGCTTATTAAGACAGAACTGAGCACTGAAGAACAATAATACCTATGGATGTACCATGATAGGATGACAACCTCTGAGAGTAGAAGAGTGAATCTAAGAGCACTCTGTAAGAGAACAGATTAATTAATGAAATCAAGGCCAAATTTCGTTTACTTGAGTGTTTCTACTGAGACCATATTTTTTGCAGTTTCCTCAAAAGTTAGGATGGATTATTGCTATATCTACCTAAAACTGACAGATCTCATTGAAAAGTGAAAAACTCAATAACTCACCTAGATGTTTTGTCTACTAGTGTCAAACATCCAGTCATTTCCAGATAATTGGATATTTGGCCTTGTGTAGATGGGCCATCTGGATGATTGAATGATTTTTTTTTTCTTTTCATCAAGATGTTTTGGTGACTTGAGGTGGGCAGATGGTGAGTCTGCCCCAGGAATAAATGGAAGTAGTCACTGTCAGAGTACATAAAAATGACAACCTCTATGTTTGTTTGTTTGTTTGTTTTTTTCTCGAAGCCTTAGTCACCAACAAAATGTCATTATCCAGCTACAAAATGACACAAAACAAGCAATGCTATTTTATGTTACAAACTCAATTGCAACTATATTTAGAAGGATATATATGTTTACCAAGATTTCATCTGGATACAGGTTGCATAGATAATAGGTAAAGTAATACAATGACACATAAAGAAGACTATAATATGTGAACATTTGACAACAAAAATTGTTCCTGGAGAATAAGCTGGATTACAGTCATTTTAGGAGTTCTATTGGCAACTGGACTGACTTTGGACTCTGACTTGTATGTGTCTATTTCTTCTAATGAACAATGTACTAGTAAATTGTAGTTTTGCTTTGTTTATCCAAGGGAATAAGGATGTAGCCTGAATTGATTCCCAATTGTCTGGTAATAGCAATGCCAAATAAATGATCCATTCCTCCTTGTCACAACAAATGCACACACATACCTCATTTTAATGTGCTTTAGTGCATAGATATGTGATTTTTCTGATTTTTTCTGTTTTTTATAATGAAAGCTTTTGGCATTGATATTCTGAAATTTTAACTAAAATATATTGATTAAATGATCACTACCTTACCTACATGTACTCATATCAGTACCTTTAATGATTTCCAGCTCTCTTTTGTAAGCTCCTTGAGGACAGTCGATGTCTTTTTTTTTTTTTTTGGCTTTTATTTATTTGTATTCTTGGCACTTAATACAGTGCCTGGCCCATAGTAAGGGTTCCATAAATGATTATTGACTTGATTCTAGAATTATAGTTAATTTCCAACTAGGCTTTCATATTTTTAAGGTAAGGGACCACATATGAATGCCCTTGGATAGGTGGAGCACTGGACTTGGAATCAAGAAGACTCAAGTCCAAATCTATGCTCTTACTGGCTGTGTGACTGGATAAATCACTTAACTTCTCAATCTCAGTTTTCCCATCTGTAACCTGAGGATTATAATAGCATCTGCCTCCCACAGATATTGTGAGATCAAATGATAGAATACACATAAGACACTTTGAAAAACATGAAGTTCTATATAATTGTTAACTCTTGTTATTATTACTCTGTCTGTATGCTTGCATTTCTTCTGTAACCCTCACACAGTGGGCAGCTGTATTGAACTCTGAGTAGGTTTGGTTTTGAGCTGTTAATCTATGGACAACTCAGCATTTGGCCAGAAAAGACATCTCTCTCTCTCTCTCTCTCTCTCTCTCTCTCTCTCTCTCTCTCTCTCTCTCTCTCTCACACACACACACACACACACACAACACACATACACATACACATACACACATATACACATACACAGATATGTATACACACATTTGCCTATATGTGTGTGTGTGTGTGTGTATACACAATGATATATAAGTGGTATAGACAATAAGTGCTATGGAATTTAGAGAAGAAAAAATATGTGGATTGGAGTGGTCTAGGGAGATTTCAAGAGGGAGGAGAGACTTAAGCTGGGTCTTGAAGGATGAGTAAGTTTTTTATGGATTGATATAAGTGGGCAGAGCATTCAAAGAAGAGGGAAGAGTATGAACTAGGTCACAGTGACGGAAGAAAAGGCTAAAATGCTTAGAAAAAAGGAGAGAGACCTTCACGGCTGGGATGATCAATGTGCTACCTCCATATGGACCCTTAAGTTCCTCCACTGCCCAGCCCTTTAGTATTTTGGCTGTCACTGTAGCACCACATCCCACAACTCCCATTTTCTCAGAATGATCCCTTCATAATACCTGATAAAAGCTCTCTGTCTTCCAGATCAGCACCTTTCCTACCTGGAGCTCTTAGGCTATTCAGAACTCCCAAGTCTCAGAACAAATTCCACCTAACTTCCCTAGTAGCCAGTGCCTGCTAAAAGAAAAGAGGAAAAAAATTCTCTCCTAGCTGTAGCACATAATCACACTTTACACTAACAACCCCTTAGCAAGTTCTGAGAAATTTAAAGTGACAGTGCTAAAAGCCTCTAGAGGTTAGCTACAAAAACAAGTGGGGAGAAAAGCTCAACCCACCCCTTACTGACACCCCCAGTCTGTTGACCCAGAACAGCCTCATTTAGAGAGCTTAGTATTTCACTTATTTACTGCATAGGGGTGGTAGGAGGAAGCCACCAATCAGGAGAGTGGGATCCCAGCCTCTGGCAACAAAATGCAGGATGTTTTGTCTTCTTGAAGCTTATATCCTCCTAGGAGCAAAGAAGATAAGCCATTGGCATTCTTTTCAATTCTCAAACATCCAAGGAAAATGACAAATGTTTCCTTTTTCTGCACAAATTAAACAATATTTTTGGGGGCCTCCAAAGAGATGTCATTCCAGTTGCAGTAAAAAAAAAATGGCTGACATTTCCATGGTGCTTTCTAGCTACAATGCACTTTACATACATTTGATTCTTACAACAACCTTGTGATCTAGGTCATAGCACAAATATTATTTCATCATCATTTTACAGACATGGAAACTGAGGATTTGTCAGATTAAGGAATTTCCCCAAGGAAATATAGATAGTAAATGACAGACCTAGAACCCAGCTCTCATATCTTGGCTGCATGTCTGCTTGGGGGGGGGGGGGGGGAGGGCGGGATAGCCTTGCTTCTGTTACATAATATTTTCATCTTGCAATTTCCTCTGGGCAGAGCACATTTTAAAAAAATGAGTGTGTTTAACTCAGTTACACTTTGTAGATTTCTATAATAAAGAACCAAACTGGAATATTTTCCCCCAAACAAAAATATGCCTATATAGTCCTATTTTTCTTGAAATAATAACTGACATTTATATAGCACAATGAGGTTTATAAAGTATTTTACCTACATTACTCCATTTCATTGTCATAAAACTCCCATGAGGTAGTACAGGGGTTTTGTTGTTCTTGTTGTTCTTTAGGGTTGGTGATGGTGGTCCATAGTAATGGTGGTTCAATACCTGTTTGTGATTTTATGTATAGAGTTCTACCAAACCTCCCTCTACCAATGCTGACTGGCAAATATTATACAGCTTATGGCCTTAGAGAGTTGGCTGGGGATTGCAAGGCTAAGTGACTTGCCCAGTGACACGGTCATTACATGTCAGAGGCAATACCTGAAACCAGTTAAGGTTTTC